CCATATCAGTGGTTAGAAAAAGATGCTAGCCGCCCTCGAGGGAAAGTTGCTAGTGGGAGACGCCGCTCGTTGAAAAATAGGTCTCCCCTATTTTCCCGTAGTTGGTACATAGACTGTTTATTTGTTTGAAGGACTTTAGTTGGCTAAATCTTAAGATTTATTACGGGCCCTCGGGCTAGCTGAACATGTACTGCGGAGACGCATCGACATCTGGCAATCATCTTACTCGAAGATTAGGGTCTGCGTGTGGCGAGCCACGGGACAGAAACCGTTGGAATGTTTACTGTCGAGTGTTACAACTATTTCCTTTTTAAGGAGAGCTATAGAATTATTCAATGCCTTTGTTAGACAAAGCGTTCATCCCGTGACCGCGGCTACGTTTGGCGACTGACTGTCGCCTCGAGCCCAAGCTCATTATCACAACTCTCGAACAATTACAATCGGACTGAATAACTACAATTGTTCAATTACAGTCTCCGGTGTTCTTTCATCTCCGACACACATATATATATGTACGTACATTTATGATTTATGAAGTTTAGAGATGCGATAAAATTATTATCAAAGGAATGTTTTCACGTTAAGACTAACATTTATTATCTTCAAATATTTATGCGATCCCTTACGATCCGAACTTATTAACACACTTTTCATTAACCGGTATCATAATGCAATATTTGCAATTTTTATATTTGTATTGAGTGCGGATTTGTACACAGCGTTTTATAATCATAAATTCCACAAATGTGAGTCAAATTTAAGAATTAAGGAAGGAATTAAGCTCTTGCATATTTTTTTAATTTATTGGGTTGGCAGCAAAGTGATTGCGGATTTTGTTATTACCATCTAATGAAAAAAACCGCAATATATATTTTAGCAATATAATATTTGTCGGAGATAAGAGGACACCGGTGCCTTCCCTCTGAAACCTCGGGAAAATCCATAAAAACATTGTAATTAAAATCTACAGTTGTAATTAAACGATTTGCCGTCATTCTACCAAATTGTATTTGTTTGAGACTTGTGACAATGAGCTTGGGCGCAAGGCGACAATTAATCGCCGAACGTAGCCGCGGTCAACGGAACGAACTCTCCGTCTAACAAAGGCATTGAGTAACCCTATAGCTCTCCTTAAAAGAAAGATTTGTAGCGGCACGTGGCAGTAAACATTCCAACGATTTCTGTCCCGTAGCTCGCCACACGCAGATCCTACTCTCCGCGCAGGATGTTTACTAGATGCCGACGCGTCTCCGCAGTACGTGATCGGCTAGCCCGAGGACCGTTATAAACACTATATCTAGTTACCTAAAATCCTTCAGCAGATAAACAGTCTTTGTCCCAGTTACAGGAAGACAGGAGAGACCTATTTTTCCACGAACGACGTCTCCTACTAGCAACTTTCCCTCGAGGGCGGCTAGCATCCTTTTCTAACTACCGATATGGAGATTGGCCAATTAGCAGCAACGTCAATTTCCCTTACTTTCCGAACGTGTGATGTCCCCAACGAATCCGATGGTCTCGTGTCCTTAGACACACCCCGTCATAGTTTTCCTCTGGGGTATCACCGGGACGGAAAATCATTCTCTCTTGCGATCTCATCGACAAAAAGATTAACGCCTTACGTCAGTGAATATTAACAAAGAATCCGACTTAGGTTTTGCGAGTGCGTACGACTACCATCCCGTTGTCCGCGGATTCGTTATCGAGACCATTGTCACCAGCGTCGCGAGTGTGTGATCATTGTGAATTTGTATCAACTCTGTAACATTTTTGCGCGTGTCAATAAAAGTAACTTCAGTGTAAGAAAATGGATAGCTTCAGTGATGAATCCTTACCTGTCCCAAACCCCCGCCACGAGGACGACTCGGGCCGAGATTCGGACTTTGACTCGACATACATTATCTGTATGAACAAACTAAAGAATAGTAGATTAATTAATAGGATATAATTAGGTTTCGCGACGTACGCTTAAATGGTAACGGATCAAAAAATGTGTAGCAACTGACTTTTTGTGAAGACGATGGTGCGGAGGAAAATTTATGATGGGTGGGTCTAAGGACACGAGATAAGCTTATTCGTTAAGGACAGGTTTTCGTTAGGAAAGTGAGAGAAATAGACTTCTCTCTTAATTGGTTATTTACCAGGTTGGTGGGCGAGGAAGGGTGCTAACCACCTCCGAGAAAAAGTTACTAGTGGGAAGCATCATACGTGACAAAAATCAATCTCCCGTGTCTTCTCGTAGTAGGCAATAACTTTTAGAAAGCAATTCAGTAAAAAGATATTTGTTTGGTCTGAAGGACCTTAACTAGAAAATTCCTGAGTTTTATGGTGGATCCTTAAGATTATTGAGGGTACGTAATACGGATGTGTAGATATCTGACTGCCATCTTGCCCGCGGTATGTTTCGTGGTGTAGGTAGAGAGTCACCAGACGTCACAGTAATGACAGGGAAGTATTCTTTGTCGCTGATCGTCGATGATTCATCCTGTCCTTCATAATAGAATAATTTCCGTTTTGTACCCCGGTATGATGATTTGAAATCTGGTGTTATATCCATTTCCTTTTCAGCTTCATTTGCTGCCATCATAGCTTTGCTAAATCCATCATTTTTGTATTCCGCAGAGAATATGGTAAGACCATACAGATGCTTCGTAGCCACATCGATTTGCATCTTTTGATTTTGTAATACTTTGCTGACGATGTTAATTTTAGATAATATTTCGTATCAAATGATAAGACTGGCAATAAATTCAAATTCATTTATTTTGCGCACTATAGACAAAATCTCAATTTTCAATTCATTGTCAGATGCATTGTCGGCAATTTCGATCAAGGCGTTTCGAAATTGACGAACATGAAATCGAATAACCTTTACACTATCAAAACAGCATTCCCACTTAGTATCTGACAATGGTTTAAGTGTAATTTTTTCAACGTGTTTTTGTAGAACATCCCAACGCGATGTCGATGCTGCAAATATCGTGTAAATCTTTTGTAAAATACCAAAAAGACGTAGTGTTTGGGTTGATGATTTTGCTCCATCTCCCAATAACAAATTCAAGTTGTGACTACCACATGGTATGTAAAGTGCTTTAGGATTTACGCATAATACATTTGCTTGCACTCCTCGATATATTCCCCTCATATTGACACCGTTACCATATCCGTGTCCGCGATAGTCAGATATTTTTATGCCCCACTGATCCAGAATGAGCATAGTTTCAGATAGTCCTCTTCCTGTTGTATTGTGAACTATTTCAAATTTGATAAAATGTTCCTGGATTTCAACCTTCTCGTCTGTTATGTTGACACAACGAAGAACAACCGATAATTGCTCTTGATGGCTCACATCCGGTGTACAATCCAATAAAATGGAATAACATTTTGCTCCCTTTATTGCATCGATAATTACTTTTTGTGCGTAATTTGCCATTGCATTTATTAATTCGTTTTGAATTGAATGTGATAAATAATAGTACCCTTTTATGGCTGTTTTGTTTAAATGATCATTTGGAACAGAATCAAATTTTGCAAATAATTGTATTAAACCCAAGAAATTACCATTGCGCGGTGTATACAAAGTATCGGAATTTCTTCGGAAAGCTAAATTATGTTGCACCACATATACAGTAACAGCAGTTATTCTTTGGACAACTTAGTTACATGGAAAAAATGGTTACATGGCGGGATAGATGGGCTAACCCTTTGTAGTCAAATATCGCCTTTAGAATGCAAGTTACAATAAGGATAGCTGTCCAATGGCAGAGTTGAAACAACTATGTGATAAAGCGAATGGATTTAGGATTATGTTTGCGTAGGGAAATAAATAATAAAGGATAGGGCTGTAATTACGACATCGGTAGACTCAATAGGCTTATACTATGATGACGTTCGCAACGAAAATGGATACGAGAAAGGAAGAACGATTTTATGGTGAAATTGGCTATGCCCCCCCCCCCCCGACAATTTCAACTTTATAAGCTACATGGTTAGTACGAATAGAAAAAATAAAGTTACGGCTTAGGGGGTTTGGGTACCCTGAGGCCCCGTCGGTGAGGCGAGTGATGCCTCCCCAGGCTCGCACCAACGATCATCACATGACTGGACGAGTAGCGAAGAAAGGTCGGTCGGTCCCAGGACCGCCTCTTGTTCGCCGAACTCGGTCGGGAACCATTTAATGGAGAAGAGTGACACTGAGAGGAGGTTGAAGAAGATCTCGATCCCGATCTAGAAGAAAGGGAGTAGTAAGGAGATGGAACCCTTTAAGCCAAGAAGAAGGCTTGATAGGAGCCCGATAGGTAAAGAGAATTTAGATCCCGAAGATGCTTGTGTAGCATTGCACTTTTCACGCCCACCAGTGCCAAATGACAACTCTTCCTCAAAGTCAGCATTGGTCATGCCTCGGAGGTGTAGGTCGTGATAGTGATAGGAAGAAACACTTGAGTATATTTAACAATATATACATGTCGGAGATGAAAGGACATCGGAACCTTCCCATTGGAACTTCGGGAAAACCTTCTAACACCATAAATTAGATTCTACCATAAGCGTAATTAAACAATTGTCGTCATTCAATCTGATTGTATTTGTTCGAGCTTGGGCTCCAGGCGACAACCAATCGCCGAACGTAGTCGCGGTCCAGGAACAAACGTTTTTACCTATCAGGGGTATGGAGTAATTCTATAGCTCTCCTTAAAAGAGATATTTGTAATGGCACTCAACACTAAACATTCCAACGGTTTCTGCCCCCACACGCTGACCCTATTCTTCGAGTATGATTGTTACAAGATGTCGACGTATCTCCACAGTACATGTTCGGCCAGCCTGAGGGCCCGTTATAAATATTAAAATTTAGTTATCCCAGTCCTTCAAACAGACAAAGAGTCTTTGTCCCAACTACGGGAAGATAGGGGAAATCTATTTTTTTTCAACGAACGACGCTTCCCGCTAGCAACCTTCCCTCAAGGACGGTTAGCATCCTTTTCTAACCACCAACGTGGAAATTGACCAATTAACAGCAACGTCAATTTTCCTCACATTCCGAAGGAAGGCTATCCTCGACGAATCCGGTGATCTCGTGCCCTTAGACACACCCCATCATAATCTTCCTCGGCAACGTCACCGTGCCGGAGAGACACTTCTTCGTACGATCTTATCGACGATTTAAGTAAAGTTCTACGAGCAGTGATTATTCCACGTTTTAATATAAAGTCCAACTTAGAATTTGGGGGAAAGTCAATTCGCTGTCCCGCTGATCGCGGATTGGTTATCGAAACTGAGGCTATTGTTAGTAGTGTCGCGGGTGCCTAAATATCGCGGTTACCTGTTACCACTGTAATATCTCTATCTGTATTAATAAATTGTATCTTTGTTGTACCGCATCGATGGCTAATTCCAGTGAAGATTCATTAAAGGCCCCTAACCCTAATTCTAATGTAAACCCAACATATATATTTGTCGGGTTAAGATCGGAATTTTGGGCGCGTGACAACTCTTCGCGTGGACTAGCCATCGTTTCACAAAGCCGAGATTATATGTACAAGACTATATGTATATACAAGACTATCACTAAGCTTAACAAATAATTAAGTCTAATGAATGATAAATTTGATGAATAATGAAATTAATGAATAATATTATTTACGAATAATGAATCTATGTACACTATTAACAATGTTTTTGTTGGGTTCAAACGAATCCACGGCCAACGTGATAACTCTTTATTAAGCGTAAAAAAATAATTTTAGGCGCAAAATACGATTGACGAGAAATGTTCGATGTGTCACTCTCCAAGGCAATCGCACGAATGCCCGCCTCGTCTGCAATTCGACACTCACTCGTTAGAAGCATCGAGAAGTTCCGAACGCCGTTGCTAGGCAGTTTCTGCCTGGAGTTTGGTTATTGATACAATGTATGTCCCATTGTCTCGGCACCTCCGAGGTAACCTCACACATGGCTAGGCCCGCTCAAGAGGCCGCAGGCCGCCACAATCACACTTCTCGGAAAACCCATACAACCACTCCAGACCTCCGTTAGGCAAAACACTTATCTCGTGACCATTGGACGTTCGACGACCAATTGTCCCCTCGAACCCAATGTCGCTATCACAAATTTTAAACAATTACAGCTATAATAAAATCTAGGCTAATGTACTAGAGGATGTTCCCAAAATTTCCAAGGAAAGGCTTTGGCTTTCCTTTCATCTCCGACATATTTATTATGATATACTCTATATGTGCACTTTGCATACAACTAGCTACTACTATTAGCGGCTCACGATTCGTGATTACAAGTTCGACTGCTGGTCCATGCGTTTTGATGCGCGATACAAGTTCGGATGATGATTGCTTAAAATGCCGAGGAACTTGGATCAATTATCGCCAAATATTAACTCGGACCGATGTGTAACAACTCTTATGTAACGACTGACTTTCCGTCACGATGATGCTGCAGAGAAAAACTATGATGGGTTGTGTCTAAGGATCATCGGATCATCGGATTCGTTGAGGAAGGCCGTGGTTCGGAAAGTGATGGAAATGCACTTCGTTGTTAATTAGCTAATTTTGTGATGGTGGTGGGAAAAGGATGCTCACTGTCCTTGAGAGAAAGTTGCTAGCGGGAAGCATCGTACGTGAGAAAAACAGAGTTTTCGTATCTTGCCGAAGTAGTTGATAGATTTACGGTTTAGAGAAAGACTATTTGTCCCTTTGGAGAATCTCAGCTAAACAAATCCTAAAATTTATAGCGGGTCCAGAGGCTTGCGGAAAATATTCTGTGAGGATGTATCGATATCTGGCAATCATCTTATCCGAAGCATAAGGTCTTTGTGTAGCGAGACATGGAACAGAAGCCCTTGGGATATTTACTGTCGAGTACCGCTATACTTCAATGGGCCAGGGGTCTTGCCTTCACTGGTCGGACCGCGTGGATGACAACCTTTATAAAAAAATCACTAACCCTAAGAAGCGAAGCGCGGCAACGAGGTACATCGCAGTCCAGGACACTGCGAGGAAGGTGGTGGGTGCGTCAGTCATTAGCGGCCTACCCCGGGGTACCTTGCGATCCTTCAGCGGTATTAGCATTCCCCCGCTGAGCGGCTCTGCCGAGGGAGACATTCTTTACCCAGGAATTGAAGGCACCCAGAAGCCTCGGTGGATGGGTGCCGAACAATAAAAAAAAAAGACAAAATTATGAACGAGGACAAAAAAGCGGAGGAAGCTACGAGAGGAAGGGGCGAAGCGGAGTTGACTCTTGAGCCCAAACACTGGCACCAGACGTATGTGAATCTTCCGCTCCGTACTAAACACAGGGAGCTTACAAACCGGGGAAGTGTCGGAGGAAGAAGAGACTTCTCCCGAGCCGATCTTCTCCCGACCCGAACGCCGATCTTCCGAGTTCCCCTCGGAACTGGCCGAAAAGATGAAAACATCTACTGCGGCGGACATACGAGCGGAACTCCGTCGAGCCAATGTTGCCGAAGCATCTCGCAACCTCAAAGGCACGTACATGAAGATGCTGAGGGAGACGGCGAGGTCCATCAATGCGGGCACAACAGAGCTCGCGAGAAGAACAGGTCCCGCCCCCGGAGCCTTCGCGATAAGGAAGGGCGCGTGGCGGCGTTGGAGACGGAGAACGAGGCGCTCCGAAAGGAGGTGGCCCGATTGGCCTCGCACTCCATGGCGGAGACGAGCGGTGATTCAGCGCGTTTCATCCCGATCGAGAGCAAGATGGAGGAGCCAGACAACTCTGAGGAACGCCTTCGAAAACATCGATAGGAGGAGGGAAAAGGAAGTTACCCCCTCCTACGAGAAGAGTGGAGTCCGGAGTTTAAAAGTACTCCAGCGACCAAAGGAAGAAAAGCGGGTGCCGTGATATGGCAGACCCTTATGGAAGAAAGAAGGGAAAAGGTGTTAGCGAAAACACAACCGGCGAAGACAACTCCGGGGACAGGGGCGAGGAGCCCGAGGAAAGCCCCGGAACGAAGGTCGCAGAACGCGGGAAGAAGGGGAGACAAACTGCCTCAAGCGGTGACGATCACGGTGAAAGAAGGATCTGGCCAATCCTACGCGGGCGTGTTGGCCGCGGCTACGAACAACATTCCTCTGGCCGAGGTCGGCATCAAGGCGGTAAGGATGCGTCAGGCTATGATCGGAGGCGTCGTATTGGAAGTCTCTTGGAAGTCTCCGAGGACAAGAAGAAAAAAAAGGACGCCGCGCTCGCGGCACGGCTGACCTGGATCCAGGACCCCAGCAAGGTCCTCGTGGCAGCACTCTTTCGAGTCGCGGAAGCTATTGCGGTCGGAATAGACGTTCCGGTCACTAAGGACGAAATCAGGAACACTTTGCTGAAGAAAGGTGGTTGCAAGGTGGAGGACGTCCAAGTGGGAGAGGTCCGCTCCGCTGGGAACGATCTTGGATCCGTGTGGATGCGAGG